CCTAGTGAGCCGCGGCGCCGGCCAGTTCTGCTTATTCTTAACTGAAAAAAAAAATGTGATGGCCGGACACCGGGATGGCTCCATCCCTGGTGGCTCCGCTCCTCCAGTGGCTTTCGTGCACACCACACCAGCGTTTGTCTATCTGTGAGCTCATCCCACAGGGGGCTTAGGGCTGGCAGGACCCTTAGTTCTGCCTTCACACTGGAGTGCGAATCTTCCCAGTCGGGACTGTTGTTGCTTGCGTCTTCCTGTCCTGAACTACAGGTGCCCTGCACACTGCACCAGACGGCAGGGACCTGCACAGGGCTGGCCACGGGGACCCTCCTCTGGACAGTGCTCACTGAAGGTCAGAGTGCAGAGATGAGTTTCGGAAGATGGGGTTGTGCTCAGAGATGCTGGGCCTGGCACTCCCAGCCACTGCCGGTGCTCTGCCGAGCTCTGTGAAAAGACAGTGATGAATCAAGCAGAAGACCCGCGATCCCGGCCAGGGCCAGAGGAGACCTCAGCAGGCTGGGCACAGAGAACCGAGGCAGGGCCAAGGGATGGCAGCAGCCTGCGTGGGTCCCTCTCTCGGCTGCCAGAGGTAGCCAGTAGCAACAGGGGGCTCCCAGGTCCACCTGCATTCAGGATGGCTGTGGGGGTTTTGCTTGGACAAGATGGAAAGAGTTAGAGAGGCAGCTGGTGGTGAGCCAGGCACAGCGCTGTGAAAGTATTCCATAGCCCTGCACCATACACTTGGAGATGGCTCATTAAGAGGGCAGATTTTGTTCTGTGTATTCTACCACAGTAAAAAATTGATTTTGGGATAGACAGTAATTTTTCATGTTAACTCTGTTCCAGGAAGTATCTGGACGTGGGAGAGAGCAGGAGGGTCCCTCCCTCCCTTCCCCTCTCCAGGCCTCCCTAGAGATTTGAAATGTCAGACGAACTGGCTGGCTTCCCTCGTGTGTCTTGTCCTGGTACTTTTAAGCCATGGCTCTGCTTTGCAAAGATGTGATCACCTCCTTGGGAGTAACTATTATAAGAGTAAGCATGGCTCTTATTCTCTTCAGGACAAATATCACAGGGGTGACCTGAATTGCAAGAGGGAAGGGAGAAAAGCAACAATAGCATAATGTTTTCTGAGCCACATGTCTGTCAGGGGACAGAGGCAAGAATTCAGAAAAGCCCACAGTCCTAAGTTAGACCCTTGGAGCTCTCACCATGAAGGGGGTGTCGCTGACCGCTCCTGAGTGGGACTGAGGAAGAGGCTGGGTTGGAATGGCCCGGGGTGACCAGGGGTGATGGACACTTCTGCATACGGAGAACATGAAATGATTGCTGGGCGAGGCTGTTACCTGAGCGAGTTGTCAGCCGTGGGATTCCCCTGTCACAGGTCATATCTGAGGGGGAGGCGCGATGGTCCATTGGGAACACGGTCGCTTGCCTGGCTTCCTGCTCACACTCTGTGTCCCCAGCGGGGCACTGGACACGGCTGTCATTCGAGGGAAGGCTTGCAAACACCCCGCTCCATGACAGCCGGGGCGAGCTGGGTGGGTGTGTGCCACTGTGCTGACTTCATCCAAAGCCATGTGGGTTGTGTTGCTGTGTTTCCAGTTTAATCAAGCAGACAGAATCAGAATTGACACTTTAAAAAATGGGAACTTCAGTTCCACCAGCTGGGGCCGAGCTATTTATTAGAATGATTTATTTGCATTAGTATATTTTTATTACGAGCATTTATCTCTGCCCCGACCAGCTGTCCCCGGGTCCGGGCGTATCGAGACCGGTCTGTGCCACAGCACATGTTAATTTCCTGTCCTCAGAAGGCCCCAGGGAGGTCACCACCCCCTCAACCGGGGCATATTTCACTTCCTGGCCTTACCTGTGCTGCCTGTCTGAGTGGGTGGCTGGTAGGGTTTCAGCTGATGATGCTGCAAATACCCACTGCAGGTACCCATGGCGGGGTGGGACCCAGCTTCCCCCTTGGCCGTGGAGAGTGGAGGTCCCCCTGGCAGGTGTCTTCCTGGCAGGTGTGACGTGCTGCTGGCCCCAGGGATGCCGATGGCATCTTCCTCTACGGTGCTGGGCATCCTGCGTGTGCGTGGGCCTTGAGCCCTGTGTGCTTCAGCTGCTGGGCCAGGCTGCCAGGCCCCCTTCTTGCCTGCTCCCTCCCTGGATGCGAACCAGAGCACCAGATGGGTTCTCCCAGGAGGGGCGTGACAAGCCCACCCTCCTGCTTCCTTTGAAGATGACCCGGCTGTTTATTGTGAGATGGGGTTGTCATGGTGATGAGCGACACCCTCTCGGGAGGGAGGTGTCTCGTGCCAGGGGAGGACCATGCTGCCCAAGGACACCCACACTAGGGCGCGGGGCTGAGGGGTCCCATGGGCAGGCCGCGGCAGCCGACGTCCTGTCTGTATCCATCGGTCGAGTTGGTGCCCTGACCTGGAGCTGCACAAAGGCGCAGTGACTGACAAGGGGGGGGACATGGCTCCACGTGACCCCTCCACACACACGAGGCTGGTACCTGCCGAGGGGCGGTGTCCCAGCTCTGCCCGAAATGTTGGATCCCGCCCCCCTGGGGAGGGTGGGGTGTAGGTCTCTTGGTTCTGTTGTTGGAGGACGGGGGAGGCTTGCATCCCTGGGGCATTCTTAGAGATGACCTGGAGGGCAGGGCGGGTCACTGTGGTGGGGAGTTTGCCAGTGAGAGGGTAACATATGAACACTCTCTGAGTGACCCGGAAGGACAAAGTACCCCCCAGAACCGTCGGGACATCATCCCCAGTAGGACCAAGGAGGGTGTGAGCAGCAGTGGCCATGAGATCGCCCTGCTGTGCCCTTTGAGAGCTTTTTCCTGGTAAGCTTTGGCCGCAGCAAGAGGCGCAGAGCTGGGGTGTGCAGGGGGACAAAACCCGCCCTGGTGGGACCCTCGGAGAGCGGTGCCGAGGCCTGTGTGGGCTCTGTGTGGCCGGCGTGGGATCCTTGGGTGAGGCCTGCAGGGATGGAGAGCTCTGAAGGGCAGGGAAGTGAGCAGGTGTCTCAGGCGAGCCCCAGCCCAGCCTGGGATCCACAGGACCACAGGGCAGGGCCGGGTGGCGAGCTCACAGGCCTCGGGGTGGGGACGGTCCTTTGGGCTTCTTACAGAGAGTCTGGGGCTGTGGGGACCACCAGACATCCGGCCTTCCCTGTGCTCAGCTGTGCCACTGCACACTCCCAGCTCCAGTGATGCCCTTTAATTTCGCTCTAAACCTTGCGTAGAATTGGAGCTCCGTCAAAGAACGTGACAGAGACGGGCTTGGACAGGGAGCGGCACCTGCACCTGGCTGTGTCACCGGAGTGAGAAGCCTTCGTTAATGCCCACACCTGCGGCCTCAGTCTTCTCGTCTCGAAATGGGTCTCCTAACTGAAGGCCCTAAAGCATTGCATAAACGCAACTCAGGGCCCGTGTCACCGCTGGCATCGTCCTGTTGCTGCTGTTTGAGCATTTATTTCCAGAAAGTTCTGGGACTTGACATACCAGCTTGCCAGAGCCCCCTTGGGCATTTGGACAGTACTTCTGAGCTGCAGATCTGACTTCTGTCTTCCAGATGGTAGAAGAAACCAAGCAGAGAAACGAACCCTAACCTTGCATTTTATTAACTCAAGTAAAGCAGTGGTGGTATGGGGTCGTCTTTATTTATTTATTTATTTATTTATTTATTTATTTATTTATTTATTTTGACAGGCAGAGTAGACAGTGAGAGAGAGAGACAGAGAGAAAGGTCTTCCTTTTGCCGTTGGTTCACCCTCCAATGGCCACCGCGGCCGGCGCGCTGTGGCCAGCGCACCGCGCTGATCCGAAGCCAGGAGACAGGTGCTTCTCTTGGTCTCCCATGGGGTGCAGGGCCCAAGCACCTGGGCCATCCTCCACTGTACTCCCGGGCCACAGCAGAGAGCTGGCCTGGAAGGGGGGCAACCGGGACAGAATCCGGCGCCCCAACCAGGACTAGAACCCAGTGTGCCGGCGCAGCTAGGTGGAGGATTAGCCTATTGAGCCACTGTGCCGGCTGGGGTCATCTTTAAGGGGAGATGTTAGGATGTGCCTTTGGGGGCGTCTTGTTGTTTGCAGTGATATTCGGACTGTTTCCATGCATTCTCAACTAAGAACTTAGGTTTTTAGAAAATATGATTTTAAGCCTTGAATACTATTGGTAGGAATACAAATTGGAATAACTTCTTTGGAAAACAGGATGGTGTTTTCTCAAAAAAAAAAAAAAATTAAACACAGAATTATCTTGTGATGCAGTGACTCCGCGTCTGGGTTTGTATCTGAGAGGAGAGAAAGTCGAGCCTCCAAGAGGTGTCCGAGGGCGCGTGTCCACGGCCGCATACTCGCAGTAGGGGTGCGGCCGCCAGCCATGCACGGATAAGCAGATGAGGTCTGTTCACGCGATGGGACGTTACTCAGCGCTAAGAAGGAAGGACGCGCTGAGGTGCGCTGCGGCGCGGACGACACTGCTGAGCGAAACAAGCCGCTCAGTAAGGACGGATGCTAGTAGCGTGCTGACGTGAGGTTCCCAGGGGAGGCACGTTCATAGAGAGAGAGGAGAATGCCGGTTACGGGGTCTGGGCGGGGAGGGAGACAGAGAGTTGTTCGTTTGATTTTGCAAGATACAAAAGTTCTGCAGATGGTTGGTGGCGATGGTTGCACAGTAGGAACAAACTTAATGGAACAGGAATATACTTAATGGAGCAGGAGCATACACTCGACTGTGCACTTAAAAATGGTGAAGCTGGTGAATTTTATGTGATGTCTGTTTTACAATTAATATAACTAACACAATTTTTAAATAACTTTTAGAAGTGTACGTACATATTAAGGCATACGTAACATTTAAGTGTAGTTAAGCATACACGCTCATACACCTGCACTCCTGCACACACGTATTTTACAGGATGAAGCACCGTGCGTATCAGTGTCTGTGTCTGGGTTCATCTCTCTGACGTATAAAATCACAGCCTTTCCCTCTCCGTTCCAGGTGTGCAATGGTCTGGAGCAGCCCAGGAGGCAGCAGCGCTCGGATCTCAACGGACCTGTTGACAATAACAACATCCCGGAGGTGATTTTCCCACGGGTGAAGGTGCCGGGCCAGGGCCCAGACGGTGGACTTCCCGCCCCGTTGACCTACTCACCCTCTGCTTAATGTTCCCTTCCCGGCCGGCGCTAGGTGGGAGGGATCCAGGGCAAGCCAGAGAGTGGGGAGGAGGTGAGGGCACGCTGGCGTGGGCAAAGGGTGTTTCCAACTGACTGACACACACCATGGACTGTTCCGGTGTGGCTGATGCTGTGTGTGTGGGAAAATCATGGGTGCCCCGATGTGAAAGAAAACTCATTGTCCCGTTGTCTGAGAGCCATGTTCTAAACTGAGTTTTGTACCATTGGCATCTAGGACTAGATAAATTTTTTTTTAATTTTTGGGGCCTGTCCTGTGCACTCTAGGATATTTGCAAGCGTTCCTGACCCCTCCCACTGTGTGCCAGGAGTCACCACCCCCTCCACTTGTTGCGACCCTGAAAAATGTCTCCGGACATGGCTAAATGTCCCCTTTTGGGGACAAAAATCATTCTGGTTGACACAGATTTAGAAGACAGCTCCCACGTAAGCTAATGCTGCCATCGTAGAGGTTATGAAAATGAGGAGGTGAGCAAGCTGTTTCCCCGCTTTGGGCACAAAGCTTAGGTGGGATTTTCCAGCTTGGATGAAATGATTACAGCTAACCCTGGGGCAGCACGCTGTCTCCTTTATCTTGCTCTCAAAGACACTCCAGGTAGCCCTCATACAGTGAGTTAGAGGACCACTGGGTTGCTTGGTCTGTAGGTTCCCTCCGAGCCGTGACATTCTCAGGGTCCCTGAGGTTTGGGCCGTAGGCTTTTCCACAGCTCCAAAGCGTCTTGTTGCCGGCACAAGGCTGGCGCGCAGTGCGGAGCTGACTTCTTGGGAATCCCAGTCACGGTGGTTTAGGCACTTCTCATGGTGGTGCACGTCTTAGCCCATCTGAGCCTAGATCTTACGAGCCACTTAGGTGTCTTTTTTTTTTTTTTTTCCTATTTCCTAACAGACAAAGAAGGTGGCATCATTTCCAAGTTTTGTGGCCGGTAAGTGCTTTTGAATTTCTTCTCTCCGAGTTGCATTTAGTGTCCAGACAGATGGGCTTTGACTTGTGTTTCTGCAGAGCTGGTTCAGAACACACCTTCCAGCCAGGTGGTGGGGCCTTTGGTTGGCTGAGCCCTGCGTATGGCTCCACGTGGTGGGGAGGGAAGGCCCAGCCCATCTGCCTGCTTTGGTAAAGGGAACAATAGAGCATTTGTGTGAGTACACACTGGCTGATTGCATTCATGAGACGCGGCTGGCTGCATTAACGGACTGCGATCCACCACTCCGGATCAGGGTGGTACGGTAATGGCCGAAGTCGGGCTGCCGTGCTGTGCGTTTTCAGCTTCCTCATTTCCCTTTAAGGAGGTGCGTAGTGCCTGTCAGCGTCCCGTCGGGAACCAAGCAGACCATACGTTCTGGATCGCTTGTCCTTGTGGGGAGGCCACAGGCTTGGCTGTGGGTGGAGCCGGCTCTGTGTGACCTGGATGAGTGTGGCAGGGGACCCCGGGGTGTGCCTCAGGAGGGCCTGTGGGTGCTTCTGGCGCTGTGGCTTCAGAGTAAGATGCTCTTATCCGGGCTTTCGCTTCGCCAGAACGAAGCTCCTGCCCCTGCTAATGTGTTGCCATAAACAATGCAAGCGTTATTAATTCTTTGAATAAGCTGGTTACTAATTCTTATGAATATTCATGGGAGCAAGGTAAATTAGACTCCAGCAGTAAATGACTGTAAACTTTCCCACTCTGCTTTTCTTTTTTAAAATTTCTGTTTATTTGAGAGGGAGGGAAGGAGGCTGAGAGAGACAGAGAGAGAGCCCCCATCTGTTGGGTCACTCCCTAGATGGCCGCGTTGGCTGGGGCTGGGCTGGGCTGGGCTGAAGCCAGAAGTGGAGAATTTTGTCCAGGACTCCACGTAGATGGCAGGAGCCCAACTACTTGAGCCATCACCTCTGCCTCCCAGGATCTACATTAGCATAAAGAGCTGGAGTCAGGGGCCAGAGCTGGGCATCGAACCAGGCACTCCTCTGTGGAATGCAGGTGTCTTCCTGCTAGGCTAAGTGCCTGTCCCATCTGCTTTTCTTTTTTAGTAAAGAACTCAAGCCCCCAAATTCCCTTTTAAGAGACTAGTCTGAACCAGGCTAAAGCAGTTCCAACTGGTTCAAAACAGATTAACCCTCTCAACCTAACTTTGACAGTTGGAACTGGCTCAATATTACCTGAATTGGATGCAAATCATTTTTAAACTGTCAGGACTGATGTTATACACCTCAAATAGACTGTCCTCCATTCTGACCAGTGAAAACAAGCCCACTTAGGTCCTGCCAGCAGTCTGCATGCAGTTTGAGATACGTAGTTGCTGGTTCAAACTGGCTCAAACTGGTCTTCCCCAGGTCACAACAGGTTTTGATGATTCCAGCAGAATCATGAGTGACAGCTTTTCAGGACCCAGTGATTGGCAGGAAGAGACCACAGGCCCCCCCGTGTCCCTCCGTCCACAGGGAGGCTTGGTTAGGGTCCTGACATATGCGTGGCAGCGTCTCCTGCAGGGGACAGGGTGGGAGGCAGCTGCAGCACCGGCTTCCACGTGGTCGGGGGGAGGGGGAGGGAGTAGGGGGTGCCAGTCTCCCTGCTCCGGCGATGCCGACTTCCTGTGAAGCTGTCACTGTGGGTGGGCCCAGGAACTGCAGCCCCCGCAAGCTGTCTGGGGAGGTGACTCATGTGTTCACCTCCCTTGGGTCCTGAGCCTGCCCCCGTCTCCCTGGGGGAGGGGTACAGAAGGAGAGAGCAGGGCGGAGGCCTCGGGCAGCCCTGACTGTGGCTTCTAACCCTGTGGAAGACTCAGTTCTCTGTGCCGCCCAGGGCTGGCCCCAATCAGATCAAAACACAACCGGGTGCCTCCAACCGATTCTGACTGCCAAAGCCTGGATGGAACCGGCTCACACCAGTGTGCACAGTGAATTTCGGGTGGTTCCTGTAAGGAGGAGCCCTTTGGTTGGTAGAAAACTACAGGTCCTGAGTGAAAGGACCACCCCCGGTGTTGGAGGATCCGTCTCTGACAAAGCCTTCGTGGACCAGACATCTCAGTCAGCAATGGGAGGAGATGTTGATGATGGAAAACCCTAGGATGTATCCGCACGCGGAAGCCATCCCCGCACCAAACACCTGTGTCGGTGAGGAATGCATGTGGGCAGGAGGATCAGAAGGCGTCAGGGCCTTGACGAAGGCTGGGGCGGGCGCTGCGCCACCAGCGCCCTCACCACATGAGGGTCAGTGTTTCTGCTTCTGCCGGCCATGCACTGCAGCGCACCTGCAGATGACGTACAACACCTAACACAGTGCAGGCGTGTGGACGGAGCTGATGCACTGTCTTGTTCAGGGAGTAATGACAAGAGAAACAGGAAAACCGAGCACTGTGTTCAGTAAAGGTGCCCTTTTTTTTTTCTGAATATTTTTGATTGGCAGTTGGTTCAATCAGCTGGCAGGTGTGGAGGCAGACTGTGTTTGCAAAAGTAACTTTTCTATAAAGGTAGGCAGACGTGTGCTTATTAAAATCAGAAGGTGGGTGCTGGGCCCAAGCCGCGGTAGCTAACAGCGGCAGCTCCAGTGCCGAGTGTGAGACCCCTCCCTCACTTGGTGCTATACTCATCTAACCATGAGGATGAGCCCCAGGCTCATGCAGATGTCAGGGCCCTGTGTCCCTGACGCCCAGGCCACTGCCCAAGCCCACATGCTGGTGACGCGGAAGAACAGGTACTCCAGTGCCCGGGCCTGCCCCGCACCCCTGCCCTCTCTGTAGGTTAGAATCACCTTGTTTGCTTTCAGAATGAGCAGTGGGGGCGCTGATCTAAGCTGACAGCATCTCACACCTCCCCCTCCGCAGCTCAGGATGGGGTGGGGCTCTCGAGCCTGCTGATGGCACAGGGACAGGAGTGAGCAGAAGCCAGGTGACCAGAGGGACGTGGGCTGGCCCGAGAGGATTTGTGAAAACCAGAGTAGCTTTTCTTTTTGTGAACAAGATTGTGTGTGTTCAGTGTTCCATGTGGTCAGCGCGAGGAGGGATTAGACGTGTTTTAAAATATGAACTTTGATTCGGAGGTTTTTAAAGATTTCTCGGAATAGGGCTTGGATCAGGCTAGAAGCCACAGGAGTTAAAAATAGATTCAGGCCGGTGCCACAGCTCACTTGGCAAATCCTCCGCCTGCGGTGCTGGCACACCGGGTTCTAGTCCTGGTTGGGGTGCTGGATTCTGTCCTGGCTGCTCCTCTTCCAGTCCAGCTCTCTGCTGTGACCTGGGAAGGCAGTGGAGGATGGCCCAAGTCCTTGGGTCCTGCACCCCCATGGGAGACCAGGTGGAGGCACCTGGCTCCTGGCTTCGGATCGGTGTAGCACACCGGCCGTAGCGGCCATTTGGGGGGTGAACCAATGGAAGGAAGACCTTTCTCTCTCTCTCTCTCTCTCACTGTCTAACTCTGCCTGTAAAAAAAAAAAAAAAAAAAGATTCAATCCTGGAAATTCCTGCAGAACGTCTCCCTCCTTGCCTGCCCCGATGGAAAAACCCTGTCTCATCCCTGAGCCTAGACCTCCCCAGTGGAGGCACTGTTACATTCCGTGTGACTCCTTCCCCAAACGTCCTGGCCGTGTACCAGCCTACACACGGGCCCTGTGCTGAACACACACACGGTGCTGGCTGCATGGGTCTGTACTCTGGGTTTCCGTCCCCTGCTGCAACCCAGAGGAACATCCCATCTGCCCGAATGCTTCCATGGCAGCGCAGGGTTGGTTTGTGAATGCACGGTGGTTTGGTCACTCTGCAGGCCGGCTGTTGGGTGGTTTCTGGCCAGTGTGGCAAGGAGCAGCCTTGCGGCTAAGCCTCTGTGTCTGGGGGTGCATTCCTAGATGCAGCAGGGTCCTGGGCAGGAGCACCACAGGTAAAGGTGCCCGAGTGCCTGCCCTGGAGCAGGCAGGGGACACCATTCTTGGGTGCGTGGTGCGTGCCACCAGCTGTTTGGTCTCAGCCCCAGGCCAGTGGGTGCAGAGTGGTGTCCTGTTGATTTCACGTGTGCGTGTTTCATGGTAGGTGAAGCCAAGCATGCTGTACATTGCAGGTGCTAATGAGCTGTTTGTTTCCCCTGCCTCTGTTGACCCCCCCTCTTTCATGGGTTGTAATTAGCAAATAAGAATTAGATGCATTTAAGATATACCACATGATGTTTTGTGAAATGATGGCGCAATGAAGCTAATTAGCAGGTTCCTCCCCCAACATTGTTCCTTTTGTCTGTGGTGAGAACACGTGAGAGCTGCAGTCTTAGTGAATTTCTTGTCTACGTAGGACACATTACTGTTAACTGCAGTCACCGTGCTGTCCCTTAGATCCCAGAACTTGCCCATCTTATAATTCAGTTTATACGCTGGCCAACATTTCTCCATCTCCTCTACCCTCCTGCCAGCTGAAATTCTTGCTGTTTCTTTTATGGCTTTTAGTTTTAGTTAAAAAAAAAATAGATCTTCCATTTACTGGCTCACTCCACCAGATGCCTGCAACAGCCAGGGTGGGACCTGGCTGAAGCCAGGAGCCAGAAACCCAATCCACATGGGTGCAGGAACCCAGTGCTAGAGCCATTACCTGCTGCCTCCCAGGGTGCTCCTTAGTAGGAAGCTGAAGTCGGGAGTGGAGCCAGGACTCAAACCTAGGCTCTCAGTGTGGGATGCATGCATCCCAAGCAGGCTCTGAGCCCCTGCCCCATATGCCTGCCCCTTTGGTGTTCCTTGATTTGCATTATTCTTTGCATGCAAAGGAAATGTGCCCTTTGGTTTATTTTATACAAGTTTCCACTAGGTTACTGTTGCCTTCATTTTCATATATGGTTTCCTTTTCTGAGTGTTTTATGGAATCAATTTTTTTCCTTTGAGGTTAGCATGACCTCACGTTCTTAAGATTTTTTTTAAAACAATAAAGTTGCCTTCCAGAACTTCTACAATTGTATGTTAAATTATTTCAATATTGG